TGACTTCTGTCAAAGCAGGAAAAACCTGGGTAGCCAGTTTTGCCTACCAACTGGTGGTGGATGAATTATCAGTGTTCTGCAGGGCACTACATTTCCCTTGGGCTATTACTCATCACAAACATTTGAATTTTCTATTTTTGTCTGTGGGTGTGGAGTGAAAGGTTTAGTGTCTTTGAAAGAATGAATATCAGGAATCATTGATTAATGGGTGGAGGAGCTTTAGGGAAAGGATCAGAGGAAGGGTGTTCCAGAAATCACAGGATGTGATCTATATCACAGAGCCCAAAGTAACAGTGGCATAAAATCATAGGGTGTACTTTTCTCTTGTACACACACACACACACACACACACACACACACGCATGCACACACATGCATGCCCACACATTTGGAAGAAGACAGTCCAGTACTGGCGCAGTGACCCACAAACATCCTTCTCTCCTCTTTCTGCTCCAACCTAATTAGCTGGAGACATTGTCCTCAGGGCTCTTTATGGTCTGAAATGCCTGCTGAAGTTCTAACCATCCCTTCAGTTAATAAAGTGAAGGGAGTTGGGTCCACCCAACACCTTCTTCAAAGGAGGTTGAGAAAAGTGACTTAGCAACTGGTGATCTTGCCAAGCGTCTCATTAGTAGAGATTCTGGTTCAATGCTTAGGAGTTTCTGCCAGACATGGCTTGTAAGGGATTTGTCCTGTTAAGGGGATTCTTGATAGGCTGGTGAAAGGGGTGGTATGACAGGGGACTCCTTACTCACTCCCAGGCCTAGTGGCTCTGTGAAGCTGGAGATCTCATCCCACAGGCATTCTGACATCCACTCTGCATGCACAGCGACACACACTCCAGATTCCTCTCCCTTCGTATTTTCCTCTTGCCTTCCTGACCACATCCTTCCCCATCCCCTTTTCTCTGCTCCCGGACTCCTGGCTGCCAGGGATTCCAGGCTGCCCTGGTTATATTCCTCTCTGATGCCCATGGAGGCTTTTCCACACCTCCCCACCCAGGCCCTGCTGGATCCACATGACCACAAGTGTCCAGTTCCTCAGAATCCAGGACCCCAAAGGTGGGGAGCAGGATGTTGCCACTTACAGAACCATAGATGGGAGAAAAATAGAATGCTGGGAGTGTCCTTCCTGGGTCTGCTGTAGATTGGACTTGCAAACTGTCAATGTGAGCTGACATTGATGATAGAAACTGGAAAGTGAACACACCAGTCTCCTTTTGGGATTGCAACACAGTTAAGCTGGGCCCTGCTGTGCATTGGCCCTGCTGGCTCCTTAGACTCTCACTGTTTGCCTTGTAAGAAGACACCGAGTGAAAATGCTGTGGCTACCTGTCTCACCTGTGCCCAGGTACCCACCAGCATCCTCAGCACAAATGCATCTGTGGGTGTGTTGCTAATGCCAGTATTTGCTTGATGACAGAATTGTAGATTTTCTTGCATCCTTGGTCTTCACAGTCAGCTGCTCTGTGCAGAGTGACCATTCATTGGTAGTTGTCAGGCCAGTAATCCTAGCTACTCAAGAAGCTAGGAGGATAGTAAGTTCAAGGCCAGCCTGAGCAACTTGATGAGACCCGCGTCAAAAACTAAAGAGAAAAGGGCTTGGCATGTGGCTCAGGAGTCAAGCACTTGCCTGGGGGGCGGGTAATGGGAGGAGAAGAAAGGGAAGGGAAGGGGAGGGAAGCCTAGATGGGCAAATCTGACTCAGTCGTTGAGGTTCTTGAATGCCTGGGAAAAGAGTTTGAACTTCACCATGACTGCTAGCTGCCACTCCATCCTGCCAGTCTCCATTCTTTACCCACGTGGGATGGCTCCTCTTCATTTCCCACTTGCTCGGACCTGACACAGGAACAATCCAGACAGGGTTTTTGTGGTGTTCTTGTTCAGCCCTTGTATCCCTAATCTAAGGCACAGAAAGTTGACCGCAGGTGTTCAGGTGGCCCAGTGTGTTAGTCAGCTTTCTGTCACTATAACAAAAGATTGGAGATGATTTACTTACAAAGAGAAAAGGTTTACGTTGGCTCAGTTTTGGAGGTTCCAGTCATCTTCAAGTGGTCCTATCACTTTGGGCCTATGGTGTAGCAGCGTGTCATGGTGGGAGCCCATGGTGGAGCAAAGCTGCTCACCTCAGGAGAGGAAGAAGAAGGGGCTGTACCTTTCAAGGGCATTTCCCCAATGACCTAAGAGGCTCCCACAACACCCCAACTCTCAAAGGTTCCACCCCTTCCCACTAGTGTCACCCTGGACCAAGACTTTATACATGGCCTTTGTAGAACAGTCAGTGTCCAAACTGGAGCACTGGAAGGGCACGATCTGAGATCAGAAGGACAGAGGTGTCTGGTGACCCAAGCTCTGCACTGTAACCTCCCTGCCAACGGAGTGGAGGATGGAGTTAAGGGTGAGCTTGGAATTGAAACTACCCAACCCTCTCAGCAGGCATGGTCTTTCTGGTACCATGAAGTAACAGAATGAAAACCAAGTTCCATCTGGCTTGCAAGCTGCTGGGATCCAATTTAACCTCACAAGATGCTCCAATAGGAAGTTGGCAGTACAGTTTCTAAACACCCCTCAAAGAGTCCATTTGCAAGCTTCCATTTACATTGTAGTCTTTGCTAGTTTATTCCATGCTGAGATTCCAGCCCACCAGTCCATTCTCCCCTAAATCCAAACCCCATGATAAGCAGCAAGGTCCAAGAGGCAAAGAAGGAGATTCAAGGGGTATCTAGGAGTTGGGAGATTTATCCAATGACTGTATGTGCCACTTGGGAATTGCCTGTATCTCGGATATTGAGGCAAATAACTAGCTCCCACTGGGTCAGGGTGTGCTAGAAGGCACAGGTGTCCTCTTAACTGTCTTATTAACTCAGGAAAATAAAGTTACAGGAAACCCGAGTGGCTAACAGGAAGCAGCTCCAGCTCTACCTGCACTGCAATCCCAAGATGCCTAGGTGTAGGAATGTACAGTGTTAGAATGTTCCCTGTCATGGAGACTAGGGACGAGCGAGCTGCAGGGAGGAAGTAGTCAGCAGTATCAAACATCCCAGGGCTGGGGATTTAGCTCAGTGACACCACATCTGCCTCACAAGCTCAAGGTCCTGAGTTTGATCCCTGGTACAAAAAAAAAAAAAAATCCCAAATACAGATGTCCAAAGAAATGACAGGGTTTGGGGATAAGGAAGACACCGGGAAGTTCCAGGAGGGCAGTGGGATTTGAAGGGACAGCCTGGGGTTTGGAAGGGACTGCTCCATCAAGTGTGCCTGGCTGCATGTCCCAGGTCCACAGAGGCAGAATTGAGGCTGAAGATCAGGGTGAGCGAGGCACGAGTTACTCATTAAAAACATTAAATAGGACTAAGCATGTAGGGCAGAGGCAGAACATTTGTCCAGCATGTGCAAGGCCCTGGCTTTGATCTCTGGCACTGGAAAAAAAAAAAAAAGTTAAATAGTAAAAGAAAAGAGAAATGAGGCCAAGAGAGGATTTTGCTTGTCTCTGTGTTTTGCAGTGAGGGAGACTAGGGAGAATATACATTTGTCTCTACTGCAGTATTATTTTGAGAGGCTGGAGTGGGCTTTGAGGGTGTCTGCAGTGTATATGTTTTGGTTTTGTTTTGTTTTGTTTTGTTGGTACTGGGGATCTAACTCAGGACCTTGCACTTTCAAGGCAGGTGCAGTGCCCCTGAGCTAAATCCCCAGCCCAAGTCTTTTTTTTTTTTTTTAATACCAGGGATCTAACTCCAGACTTTGCACTTGCGTGGTAGGCCCAGGCCGCAGAACCACTGAGCTGCAGTGTATGTGATAAGCCACCAGATGGTGTTCCAGATCCTGAGAGTAACAGCCACTGTTTCAGGACTTTACTAGCAAAATAGATTAACATTAGCCATGGCACAATTTTGAAAGCTAAACATCACACAAAAGCAAACAATCAAAACATATAGGTCCCAAGTTAGAAGAGTATGCTTTGGCAATTTTCTGTCATTTACTAAACAAAAGTCGTGACAGTTCTGTTTACAGCTGTCCCTACACCCGTTGTCTAGGCTTGGTTTATCCAGGTGGATGTTTTCCCTCTCTCCAACTCAGCCCCAGGCCCAGAGGTCCTGCTCCCAAGATGGGACTTCCCCATGACTATCTCCAAGCTCTGACAGAAAGGCAGCCTGCTTCACTGAAGCCTGCCTGCGTTTGTGGCTGTGCAGACCGAATAGATGGCTTAATCTCCTTGCTGTGGTTGACGTGGAACTGGATAGTACTGTAGAGGGACTGCTTGTCAATCAGGGCCGTGTTGCAGACATGTGTGGCTACTTTCCTCTTAGCATGTTTGAAGTCACAGGAGAGAGGGAGGTGAAAGAGGCCAGGGAAGCCAGGCAGAGATGCAGAGGTTAGAAGGTTGTTGCCTGGCTAGAGCTAAATTTGGGCAAAGAGACCGAGGACTGCCAGGCACACACCTCACTGCAGGAAGGTGACATCATGGACTGGGAATAGCTAGGGAGGGTGAGACTGGCAGCTTCCGAGGCCCAGGTGCTTGCTCCCCAGATGCTCTGCCTCTAAGGGAAACGTTGCAGGCTGGGGGAGCCTACATGGGGCCTGGGAATCACAGACAGTCAGAGGCCAGCTCTCCATGCCGCCTCTTACAGGGAGGAACTCAGGTCCTGGGGTAAAAAGACCCTCCACTGCCACACTGAAAAGCCAGCTCTCCGCCTGCATCCCTCCGTGCCCTGCCGGGCTGCCCCAACCTGGGGACCGGCCCTGCGCAGAGCGGCTGAGGGGAGCCCTTTGGAAGGAGGGTGGCCAGAGAGTACGAGGAGACCGAAGGAGAGCAGGCGAGGCTGAGGATGGATTTGGGGGCAGAGGCTGCAGTCACGAAGGCTGGGGGCGCGTTACTGGTGCTGGGCACCCTGGGGCACAGACAGAAGCTCGCTTCCCCAGCACCATCCGGGGACTCATCAAGCAACTTCCAACGTGGTCGTCCAGGCCGGTGAACCTGTTCTCTTTGTTGTTGGCCCACAGGAATCTCCTACCAGCGGCTGGTGAGAGCTGAGCAGGGGCTGCCCCTTAGGAGTCACCGAAGCTCTACTGTGTGAGTGTCCAGGGGTGGGATTAATGGGGCGAGGACCTCCCATCCCTATACTGTCCTCTGTCACTGCACGCCTCCCACACCAGGTACCAACCAGCAGGCTTCAAGGGGACCAGGAAGCCCCTGCAACTGCGGGTGGTGTTTCTATGCGTAATTTCTCTGTTCTGGGCTGAGCCTCTTCCGGCAGATTCTGAAAAAGATCTGGGCGTATATTATGCATTCATCTCTACTTTCCAGATGAGGAAACTGGAGGTCAGAGAGGTCAAATAACTTCCCCAAGGTCACACAGCGAGTGAATGGCTGAGCAAACATTTCAGACTCCAATCTTACTCAAAGACCTGTGCTCATTCCGTAGTGTCTCCTGTTACTATAATAGCATTTTCCAAATGTTTCTGAATAGGGCCTATTAAAAATGCATTTTATATGATAGTCTGGCGTGCACGCACACGCACACACACACACACACACACACACACACACACACACACACACACAACAAGT